TCTTCAATCATTAATGCCCTCCTCATTATAGCCTTCTTTAGACCACTCTCCTACCCACATGGGCAGCTGTGCTTCACTGCAGGGGACATCAGAGACTTTCAGACTCCATACCTTCCAGAAATACTTTTTCAGACAAAACCACAAAGGAAGCAGCCAATCTCTCTCTCCACACCCCTAAGGGTCAATATTTTGCCCTTTCCATCTTCACCTCAGCCTACTCCCTTTCTAAATGCCAAAAATATCAAGATATCCTCACCAAAATTGGATGGGTTTTACTTTGGGAAAAAAAATTTCTCCTCACTTCACAGGCCCTATCATTCTTCGGTCCCTTCATGACAATTTTCATATGGGCTACAAATCCCTAACTTGACTGCATGAGCCTCTTATCTGGTTTCCCTTCTGGAAGGCCTTCCTCAAAACTCTCACCACTCCATGCTCTCTTTGCCAGGTAACCATGCCTCAGGGCTCCCTGAGGCCCTCTCCTTTTCCTTTTCCACATCAAGGAAGAGGTTTTTCCTTAACTCAGGACTAGCAGATTGATTTTACCCACATGCCCTGAGTGCAAAAGTTAAGATACCTCTTGGTCTGGGTCAACGCGTTCACTGGGTGGGTAGAGCCCTTTCCCACCAGCTCAAAAAAGGCCTCAGCAGTTGTTAACTCCCTCTTAGTCAATAGTATTCCCTGGTCTGGCCTTCCCACCTCCATTCAATTGGACAATGGCCCACCTTTCATTAGCCAAATTACCCAGGAGGTGTCTAAGTCACTTCATATACAATGGAACCTTCATAGCCCCTACTGGCCTCAGACATCCAGAAAGGTAGAGAGTCAATGGCCTCCTCAAGGCTTACCTCACTAAACTCACACTTCAGCTTCATAAAGATTGGGTTTCCCTACTCCTGATTGCTCTCCTTCGCATCCACACCACTCCTGAAGAACCTACAGGTTACAGTCCATTTGAGCTTTTCTATGGCCACAACTTTCTGCTTGGGCCACATCTCAGCCCAAAGGCCAGCCCCATTACAGACTACCTCCCTGTCCTACAATAAGCTCAAAAGAGATACAACATGCTGCTAACCTTCTCCTACCTTTTCCAACACCTAGCCTCACAAAGATGGTCTGGCTAACAAATGAGTTTAATTAAAGATTTAAACCCCTGGTCTCTACAGCCTATGAGGACAGGACCCATCCTGGTCATCAACAGCACCCTGATGACTATCCATGTATGAGACCCTCCCTAGTGGATATATCATTCTCAGGTAAATCTGTGTCTTGCCAATAATCTGCCTGACTCCTCTTTGTGGAAATCACAAGTAATCTCCCATACTTCCCTCAGGCTGACCCAAATTCCAGAAGATACTTAAATGCTTTGCCTATCCTGCTGCTTTGCCCACTTCCTTCATTCAAGGTTCTTTGATCTTACTTGGTTTCACCCTCAGGCCTTCACCCTTGAGACCTTCCTTACATGGATAGAAGATCTCCTTTTTCAGGGCATTCTGTGTGACTTCTCCCCAGAGGAGACTGGTTTTTGTTTTTGTTTTTGTTTTTGGTACCGGGGATCAAACTCGGGACTTCCAGCTTGCAAGGCAGGCGGTGGAACCACTGAGCTAAATCCCCAGCCCCAGAGGAGACTGTTTTCCTTCCTTCTCGCCCTCTTTCTGTTTAATGATTGACAGAGAGGACCTTAAATACCATTTCTATGATGCATTCCCCTGTGGATTTTACTTATAATCCTGTTATGGCTTCAACTCAATTGTCTTTTGCCCCAGGGAATGGAGTCATATCTCATGCTCATGTTCATCTTTGCTCTTATTAACCCCTCCTTCTTCCTCTCTGCACTCTTTGGTCTGGCTAGCCCTCCTGTTCCTTTTGCCATGTCCCACAGTTGCGCCCCCATCACTTCTCCTGGTGGCCCTTAATTATCTCTACAGTTAACCCATTTCCTGTTAAACTGGTCCAAACCTTCCTTAGCCAAAAATTGCTGTCTCAAAAATTATGTCCATGTCTACAACCACCTATGCAGCCACTCAGGTTCCTCCCCAGGTCTGGGTCCTTACTAACCTCACATATCACCCCAAATATGAAACAAAGGGCCCACTGCAACTCCTCAGCACTTTCCCCATCACTGACAAGACAAAAAACATTCAGTCTGGACGCACAGCCCAACTCCTCTAGTCCGATTTTGCTAGCACCTCTGCATATGAGAGCCCACCTAAGCCCATACATGGCCCCATAACCACTGATATTACTCTGGCCTTCCACGCCCCCATTTGCATTCAGTGTACTCTATCCTCCGGTACACAATGAGGACACCTACTCCCCCCATCAATGTAACTACACACTACTGTTATTGGCCTCAGGTGACCATGCCAATTACCAGGTTGCTCAGGATGCCCCATTCACTCAGCTTGTCTGCTTTTCCAGCCCCCCAAGGTTATAAAACCATCACTGTGGCCGGGGATTTAGCTCAGTGGTTCCGCCGCCTGCCTTGCAAGTGGAAGGATCCGAGTTTGATCCCCGGCACAATAAATAAATAAATAAATAAAAATAAAACCATCACTGCTCAATAGACAGTGCTGCAATGGCCACCACTTTCCATGGACCCCTTGTCGCCAATCTTCTACTTGCTCAGATTGCTTCCTCTTGCCTACCTTTAACCACTCCTCACAATGGCTCCTAACAGACACCAAAAGATTCTTCCTACAATGAGAAAACAGAACATTGGATGCCGGTCAAATCCCCTGCCAGGGGCCCTTCCAGCCCCTGATAAGCACTGCCTTGGCAGGTGCTCTGGGTGTCTGGGAAAAGAAAACCAGACTCACACACCTGTTTAACACCCACAACGAACTCTGCTTACCCAGCCAAGGTGTCTTTTTCCTTTGTGGGACTTCCAACTACTTTTCCCTTCCCACTAACTGAACCAGCAACTGCACACCTACCTACTTCACCTACTTCAGCCCCAAAATAGATATTGCCCTGGGAAATGAGAGCCTGCCTGTTAAAGCCCAGGTCTGACAATGTAGAGATCTATAACTAATACCCCTGCTTGTCAGTCTGGGCATCACCACTGCCACAGGGACCAGCATAATGGGTCTATCTTCCTCCCTGACCCACTATCGCTCCCTCTCCCCAGATCTTTCTGACAGCCACAAAGAAATAGCTGACTCCATTCTCACCTTACAGAAGCAGAGAGACTCCCTGGTAAGAGTAACCATCCAAAATCACAGAGGTCTAGATCTTCTCACACCTAAGAAAGGAGGGTTATGCATCCTCCTAGAAGAATATTGCTTAACCAGGCAGGCATAGTACAAGATGCAGCTAAGAGAGTAACAGAAAAGGGCTCAGAAATTAGCACCTGCCTGACTCTTGGACCAATATTTGGGGCTAAGCCCTATGGCTTCTTCTATTAATTTTACCTTTTGTCTATATCATTCTCCTCCTTCTCACTGGGGCTGCCTGCCTCCTCAGACTTCTCAGTTTTTACAGGATGGTGTTCAGGTGGTCACCAACCTGACCCTGACCACTCTTCAATAAACCCCTATTCACCCAGATCTCTCTCCCAGTTAGGCTCCCCATGCCACCCCATTTGTCACACACAAAGAAGCTATGAGGAACATCACCCACTTTCCTGCTCCTCTTTGTATATAACAACAAAAAGATGGAAACATCATGCTTGACCTGAGTGAAACCCTCTCAGCAAACATCCTGCCCTCCACAGAAAACAGGAAACCACTGTCCTCAGTAAACAGATCAGATGGGGCTGGGGATTTAGCTCAGTGGTTCTGCTGCCTGTCTTGAAAGCACAAGGTCCTGAGTTCGATCCCCAGTACCAAAAAAAAAAAAATCAGAAGGCCATAAAGAAAATTTAGCACAGGATGAGCAATCTCCCTGGCGCTGAGAAGTCCAGTATTATTTATACACCTCCACTGACCATCCTGAGAACCTTGACCCCAAGCATTCCATCCCAGAGTCCTTAGGATCACAATTCCCATCCCCAAACGTTATAAAAACTTAACTTCTCCTCTGGCCAATTGCTGACATCTATCTCAATCTCAGCCTGCCTGTTTGCAGTCAGAATAATTGGGGTTTTTATTGTTGTTCCCACAAAGCCTGTGTCCCAGTAGTCTCTTGTGCACCATTTGTAACACTCAGGAAGCTGAGGCAGGAGGATCAACGTGAGTTCGAGGCCAGCCTCAGCTACACAGAAAGACCCTGCCCCCCCCCAAAAAAGCAGGTAACCATAATGAAGATTTAGGACACCATAAATAAAATCATTCAGTATACTCTCTTTTGTGGCTTCTTTCAAATGTATATTGGTGCTATTCATCAACAGAATTGCGTGTGGCTTTCGTACACTCACTGCCCTCGCTGAATAACATTCCGCGTGGGAACGTACTGTGCCACACTACCGGGATTCTCCTGTCAAGGACACGGGTCGTCCTCCCACTTTGGGCCTTCATGAACACCACCGAGGTGAGTATTCCAGGATGCAGCCGCCCCCTCGTCCTCCTTCCCAGCCCATCCGGTGGGTGTGCACTGGTGTCCCACATGCTGTTAGCGTGCACTGGGGCACGCCTTACACTGACTGTGTTCAGGGATGTTCTTTTTTCTCATCACTGTGTGCGGATAACTCTGCCCACTCAGGCGGAGTTCACTGACTGAACACTGGGCGCAGCCTCCCTTCTCCATGCAGTGGTCTTGGAGACACCGGCGGGGAGTGGACAGCTGGACAGCACTAACCGCAGGGCTTCCCGGTACAGACAGCTGCAGGAAGGCCGGGAGCCCCGCCAGCACGCGAGGCTCGGGCTCCCGCCCTGGGGCCCATACCCTTGCCCAACAGGCCGGGCAGGTCTGAGAGACCCCGGGGGTCCTCCTGGGTGAGGGCGGGGCCTGTCCTGTGGGTGTGGCGTGACAGGGCCCCTTTCCCCGTAGGTGGGGCCAGGGGCGGGGCCGTCCGTGGGGGCAGCATGAGGAGCGTGGGCCAAGCCAGCTGTCCTAACGGCGCTAACGGTCCCAACGTCGCAGGCGCACACGGGGTCGCCAGCGCCCCCTCCAGTGCTTGGCTCAAGGTGCTTGTCGGAAGGGTGAGGAGCCCGGGCTGCGGCAGTGGACGAGGTGCATTGTCCGGATCCAGAACCGGAGCCAGAACCGGAGCCAGAACCAGAGCCGGAGCCACGGAGGGGAGCAGGGCCTGTGCCCCTCAGGTTAGGGAAGGCAGGGGTTTGGGGACAGGGTAGGCTGGCCTCGAACTCCCAGCAGTCCTCCTGCCTCAGTCTCCTGAGTGCTGGGATCATGGGCGTGTGCAGCCACGCCTGGGGAAAATGCATACATTTATAATAACATGCCAAAGGCCAACAGCGATTTTTTTTTTTTTTTTTTTTTTTTGGTATCCAGGGCCAGCACCTTTGCGCTGAGCTACATTTCAGCCCTCTTAAAATATTTATTATTTAATTTTTGAGACAGGGTTTAGCTAAATTTGCTAAATTGCCCAGGTTGGGCTTGAACTTGCAACCCTCCTGCATCAGCCTCCCAGAGTGCTGGGTTGACAGGCAGATGCGGGTGGAGTGAGGAATGGGCCAACAATCAGTAGGAGGCAAACCCAAGTCCTGCTTCGAATTCTCTGCCCTGAAGCAGGCAGGGGTGGGAGGCCCAGGCCCCCGGCAAAGTGCTGTCCCTGGTTTGTCACGGTCTACTGTCCAGGCTGAATGTAGAGTTTCCATTGGTTTCCAAGAAGGTTTAGTGTGGTTTACAGTCCATAACACCTCACTTTTAAAGGAAGTATATTTATTAGAATTAGATTAGCAATTGGGCTTTGGTGGTTTGGTTTTTATTTTTAGGTACTAGGGATTGAACCTAGAGCCTTAGCCCTGACCTACCTCCCCAGCCCGTTTTTTATTGTTCTGAGATAGGAGGGTCTTACCAAGTTGCTCAATTGCCCAGACTGGGATGAAGCTCAGAATCCTCCTGCCTCAGCCTCCCAGAGCGCTGGGATTACAGGCCTGCACCACCCAGGCCACGGTTGTTTTTGTTTTTCTCAAATGAGAACACATTAAAAGACAAGCACAGCTGACAAAGAAAAGAGGCTGGGCTGGGGAGGTGGCACTCAGAGGCCACGTCTCCTGGCTCAGCCTCCCCAGGGACTCAGGACACGAATCAGGATGGGGAGGGGGGCGGGGACCGGTCAGGGGTTCGTGGAAGGCACAGGAAGAGTTGCTGCTTCCCACTTTTTTTTTTTTTTGGCAAAATAGGACACATCAAATCACAGATTTTATGTGATGAATGTTATGATGTATATCTAAAATACAGCAATACATGTTTTGCTTCAAAACAAAATTTTTTTTTTTTTTTGGTACCGGGGTTCGAACTCGGGTGCTTGAGCTTGTGCAGCAGGCGGCAAAACCACCAAGCTAAATCCCCGGCCCACAAAATTTATTTTAAATCACAGATTTTTATGGTGGCAGATAGACAGCTGGTCCTGGTTGGTGACAGAGCAGGGATAATGCTGCATGGACACTGCTTTAAGCAAATTCAGCTTGTCTTTCCCTTTTCTCCCCACCCTCAGCCTGACTGAAGTCCTTCCCCGAGCTAGAGAACAGTGGAGAGAGTTTTACTGAGGGCCCCAGAACCAACTTAATCTAAGAAGCCACTAGAACCGGATGGGATTTCACCCTCCACAAGTACGCGCTCGGGGACGCTGAGGCAAGAGGATCCCAGGTTCAAGCACAGCCTGGGCAACTTAGTGACCCTGTCTCAAAATGAAACAATAAAAGTATGATTGGGGCTGTGGCCTGACACGAAGGCCCAGGCTTCAGTCTCCAGTCCCACATCCACGCACACGCGAAGTGACTGAATCACAGGCCGATTGCCGCTTTGCAGGAAGCTGCGCCCGGAAGAGGAGCCAGAGGCGAGGGGTTCCCGGTGCCGGTAGACGGGGGAGGACAAGATGGAGAAGAGGCACAGGGTGAGTGGGGGCGCTCGGGCCCTGTATGAGCGCGCAGGGTACTATCCAAAGCCCAAGGCCGAACGCGTTGGTGTTGAGGGTGTTGAGCGTTACAGTTGCCCCGGGGCTCAGGGAAAGCCGAGGAAATCCGGGCGGGGAGCGGCGTCCCTGGTGGAGGACAGCGGTGCTGTCCAGAGCAGATCGGTGCTGTCCGGAGCAGATCCGAGCAGATCGGACTGGATCGGGTCCCGCCCACCCCAGGCTGTGTCCGCATCACTGAGCGTTAGGGGAGCTAGGACCTGGGAGAGGGAAAGCAGAGGCTCTCCTTCAAACGTGTTTCCAAAAGTCTGCATCTTCGAGAGAATCTAAAAGGTCGACAGGGTTAAAAGACGGCACAGTCACGTGACTGGTGAAGTCAGTCTCGGGGTGCAAGAGGCGCTCAAGAGCACTGTGAAGTCAAGGGATGAAACAGAAGCTGGAGTGATCGCTTTTGTTGTTGATACTGGGAATGAATTGAACTCAGGGCCTTCACACTGGACTATGTCCTCGACCCCCTTTTTAAAATTTTTATTTATTTCTGTTTGTATTTGTGAGACAGGGTCTCGCTATGTAGTTCAGCCTGGCCCTAAACTTGTGGCGATCCTCCTGCCTCAGCCTCCCAAGTGCTGGGACTACAGGTGTGCGCCACCAGGCCCGGCTAGCTCTTTTTTAAATTTTGAGACAGGTTCTTGCTAAGTCACTCAGTTGTCCAGGCTGGACTCAGACTTGCTGCCCTCCTGCCTCAGCCTCCTGAGTGCAGCGATTACAGTCATGCACCACCATGTCTGGCCATTATTTTATTTTAAAAGAACTGTATACCTTTGAAATTTCCAGTAATACAAAAATTAAAAGACAAAGTCCCTTCGAATTTGGTGAGAATTAAAGTTTAAAGTGTTCTTATTAGCAATTTTTAAAAAGTGATTTTGGGCCAGGGATTTAGCTCAGTGGTTTTGCCGCCTGCTGCACATGCACAAGGACCTGAGTTCAATCCCCGGTACCAAAAAAAAAATTTTTTTTTAAATAAATAAATAAAAAGTGATTTTACTGGGGCTGGGGATTTAGCTCAGTGGTTCCGCTGCCTGCCTTGCAAGCATAAGTACCCTAGTTCGATCCTCAGTACCAAAAAAAAACCCAAAAAACAATGTAATTTTACCTTTGATAATGCCATTTTGACATATGCGTAAAACTGACTATGAAAATTTGTCCAATATCGTAATAGTAGATAGGTCAAGAGATTCAGATTTAAGGGAAACCAGAAGAGCTAGATTAAATGCATTGTGTAAACCAGGCATGGTGGCACACACTGGTAGTCCCAGCACTCGGGAGGCTGAGGAAGGAGGATCACAAGTCTGAGCCCAGCCTGTGCAATTTACCAAGTCCTGCCCTCTACAGGAAAAAATAAAAAAGACCTGGGGATGTAGCACAGCAGCACCGCACCTGCCTTGCAAACACGAGGTCCTGAGTTCGATCTTGAGTACTGAGGAAAAAAAAAGAAAGAAAACCCTCAACAATAAAAAATAGGCAAAAGACATGAACACATATTTCACCGACAAAGGGTATATGAAGTAGTGTCAAAAATATGGTGAATGTTTAGTGGGTATTGTTTTGTTTTGTTCTGAAACCATCTCACATGTAGTCCAGGCTGGCCTTGATTTTACCGTGTAGCCCAGGGGCTGGCCTCAAACTCGTGGGAATCCTTCTGCCTTGGCCTCCCAAGCTGGGATTATAAGTGTGTGCCATCACCCAGGCTCTCCGATACACTTTAAATCATCTCTTGAATTTTTAAAAAATTAATGCAGTGAAATTAATTTTTAAAATACAGTAAAATTAATTTTTAAAATTAATCCCCTCAAAATACTCCCCTTTGCTTTGAACACACTTACCCCAGCATTCTTATTGATTTCTGAAGAAGTTCTGGACGTGCTCTTTTGAGAATGTCTTTGCTTGTGCTGTCCGGCTGCCTTCATTCCTGAATGGATTCAAAATGTTTACCTTCAATAATCATTTGTCTTTGGGGAAGCTCTATAAGTCACACCGTGCCATACCTGGTGAATAAGGTGGATGCAAACACACCACTGTGTTCTCACAAGCTCACCTTTTCATTGGACAAAGTTACTTGGCAGCAGTGTTCACCAAATATTTGATCACACTTCATACAGATACAAAAAGAGGACTTTCACAGCTGCTTCAACAAGTGGCAAGAATGATGGAGTGAGTGTATTCAAAGTGAAGGGGATTAATGGCAATGTGTCTTTTACTGTAATGATTTTATTTTTGTGACAGGGCCTCACTATATGCAACCCAGGCTGTCCTTGAACTCACAGTGATCCTCCTGCCTCAGCCTCCCAAGTGCTCAGGTTACAAGCCTGCATGGCCATACCCAGCCATAATTTTTTTAAAAATTAAAACAGGGGGCCAGAGATTTAGCTCAAGTGGTTCTGCCGCCTGACCCAAGTTTGATCCCCTGTACCAAAAAAAAATAATAATAACAATAAAAATTGAGATAGGGTTTTACTAGGCTGGCTTCAAACTCACCATAATCCTTCTGCCTCAGCCTCCTAAATGCTGGGATTACACGTCTGTTCCTCCATGCCCTGCTTTACTGTAATAATTTTTTAAACTTTAAATGCTATTTTTTATCAGCCTTTGTATGGATACAAATAAGCACATGAAAAGATGCTGAGTTTCATTAGCCATTAGGGAAATATGAATGAAACCACAATGAAATATCACTGTATACTTATGAGGATGGCTAAAGTGAAAAATATTGAGCGTGCCAATTGCTGGTGAGAAACTTATTCCACATTAGTGGTAAAAATGTAAAATGCTACATTCATGCTGGTAAACTATGCGAGTTTCTTTCTTTTTTTTTTTTTTTTTTTTTTTGGTACCGGGGATTGAACTCGGGACCTTGCAAGGCAGGCACCGGAACCATTGAGCTAAATCCCCGGCCCCATGCAAATTTCTTACAAAAGTAAGTAATGTACCTACCATATGACCAGCAATTGCATTCTTGGGTATTTATCCCAGAGGAATAAAAGCATGATCATACAGAAACCTCCTATGTACAGACACGTGTCCAAACCTAAAACACAGCAGAGTCCTGTGGACCTATGAATATTCATAACAACTTTGTCGCAGCCCAAAAGACAGCTACAGCTACGTTCTTACCTACCATCGAATACAATACGACTGGGAGTAAAAGGAATGGATTGTTACGGACACACATACCAACCTGGATGGCTTTCAAGGGAGCTATACTGGAGGAAAGGCGCTATCTCAGAAGATTAGATGTGGAAAGGCCCCATTATTTGCAGAGTGACAGAATTAGAGATAGAGCACAGCTGAGTGGCAGGGAAGGTCACCGTGCGTGGCGTGCGTGCGGGGCGGCCCCTGTAGGAATCATGTGCTAGACTGCGTGGAGCCCAGTCTCGCGCGTGCGCACACGGGTGCCCGTGCGGCTGCTCACGTCGCAACTCGAGCTGCTGCGGTCGCACTCCCCACCTCGGACCAGATGCGCCGAGTACCCAGTGGTTTTGAGGGCAAAGAGCAGCGAGGCACAGCCCAGTCGGTCGACACCGACAAACTCCAGCCTGCGTGTCGAGCACCAAAAGAGTGACAGGGACCGGAGCGAAGGAGCCTCCCGCCGGCCAGGACTAGGGGCTGCGGCGCGAGGCTGTGCGGGCGCCGAGGGGGGGCACGGGCTGCGAGTTACCTGTGGTGCGTACGGCTGCACAGGAATCGGCGATTATCTCAAAATAAGAAGTTGGGAAGAATAAGTCAAGGGCCTAGGGGCTTCAAAGCCGGCAGAAGGGGAGTGGGGCCGGCAAGGCGCGCTGCGGGCGGCGAGGCGGCGTCAGGCGCGGAGCGCCGTGCGGGGACGGCAGGGATAAGTTTTTTTAAGGCTTCTGGTGGTGCTGGGGTTTGAACCCAGGGCCTCCGCACTGAGCTACCTCCCCAGCCCTCACGTCTGTTTCTGTGAGAAATGCCTCTGGCTGTGGGTGGGGCCGCGGGGCGGGGCCGGCGCGATGGGAGGCGGTTGGGGGCCCTTGGTACTCTCTTCCCTGCAGCCTCGCAGCAGCGACGTGCAGTCTGCAGCTCGGAGATAAGGTCCGAGTGGGCCGAGATCTGATAAGGGTGGTGCGGAAAGCCTGACCTTGAAGAGAGTCCAGAGGATTGAACTTGAGGGACGAACCTGGATTTGGGGATGCCGAGGAAAGGCAAGGAGAAACCAGCATTGGTTGGTGTATCAAAAGCTGGCACCGTTGCACAGGATCCCAGCACTCAGGAGGCTGAAGCAGGAGGATCGCCATGAGTTCGAGGCAGCTTGGGCTGCATATGGAGACCCTGTCTCAAAAGGGGGGAGGGGAGATTTTGCATTAAAAGAAAGCTGGGCAGCTGGTTTATAGCTGAGTGGCGGAGCGCTTGCCTAGCGTGCATGAGGCCCTGGATTCCATCCCCAGCACTGCAAAATAAATACGAGGGAATAGAGGTGGGGTCCTCATCTGGAGAGGACACAGATCAAGATAATAATTATTTTTCATTCCTGTGACAGAACCAGAGTTAAAAGAATTTTTTACATGAACACCTTGATACCCACCACCGTGATTTAAAGGACAGAAGCTAGCTCCTTACTATCTATCTGTGTGTCTACCTGTGACACACAAATTTGTATCACTAGGGAGAGTCTTGCTCAAAGATATGACGACACAGATCTATTGGAAAGGGAAAATTTTACACTATAAGGATATTATTTTCAGGTAAAATCGTTGAGTGGGCAAGAGAGCAAGAGCCCCGGAGCTGGAGTGGAGGCTGCAGTAGGAGAGGTTGATCCATCTCACCGGAAGCCAGGCCCAGGGTGTGCACAGCTAAACGAGAGATCCGCTGATGATGTAGGCAGCTGGGGAATCGCTCTTCTATTTTCGCAAAGAAATAATGAATGTGGTCATAAGCTGAGTGAAAAAGAAAGGTCTCAGAGATTTACCAAAGAGGAAGAAGTAGAAAATCATTGTCTGGAAGAATAAAGAGAGTGGGTTGGGGGCCGGGGATTTAGCTCAGTGGTTCTGCCGCCTGCCTCAAAAGCTCAAGGACCCGAGTTCGATCCCTGGTACCAAAAAAAAAAAAAGAGAGAGTGGGTTGATCTGCAGAAAAAGCCTTGCTGGGATGTGGCTCAGCAGTGGCCCACATGCCTAGCAGGCCCCAGGTCCAGGCTAGCCTCGAACTTGTGGTGATGTCCTGTCTCAGCCTCCTGAGGGCTAGGATTACAGGGATGCACCACCACATGTGGCAGTAATGTTCCTTCTTCTATGCATCAAAACTATACTGAACAGTGAATTCTGGATTGCAAGAGGATTTATTTTTTGCACCCATCTATAAGTCTTTGTCCACAAGTTAAACAAAAATGTACATAGCACTATTATTTTTTCATTTTGAGACAGGGTCTCAGTATGTCCCTGAACTGCTCAGGCTGGATTTAGATTTGCAGTCCTCCTGCCACAGCCTCCCAGTATGCTGGGATCACAGGCATATCGGAGGGTTGGGATTTTACCAAGGAACACAAGGGAGGGGAAGGGCCTGGGAGTTTCACATTTATGCAAGCGTGCTGAGAGTGCATGAATCAGCTCACTGAGACTGGGTGATGTGGAACCAAAGGAGAGTGGTGAGCAATGGAAACCTGACAGGCTCAGTAGGGATTCTACCCAGAAATCCGGGGTGGGGAGAAAGTGATAGGTGGAGCCAGGCATGGTGGCCTGCACCTTTCATCCCAGCACTCAGGAAGCTGAGGCAGGAGGATCACCACGAGTTTGAGGCCAGCCTGGACTACACAGCAAGACCCTGTCTCAAAATGAAATTAGGGTTGGCCCGGGTATTTAGCTCAGTGGTTTCACCGCCTGCTGCGCAAGCGCAAGGTCCCAAGTTTGATCCCGGTACCAACAAAAAAAACCTGACAGTAGGAGGTGGTTGGGGGAGGGTGTGGCTCAGTGGAGGACGCCTGCCTATGTGTGCGGAGCCAGCAGCAGCACCTAAGTGTCAGAATAGGACGGAGAGGCTGCAGTCTTTACTCTTGACTGGGACGGGCATCTCCCTGGACACGAGTGCCCAGAGAGGGCTGGAAACAAACGGGGGGGGGGGGGACAGCATGCAGATGACGTGTCCCGTGGAAGGTGGCCCAGGAATGATGACAGCGGTGGCAAACAGCGAGAGTGAGTCAGGCTTGTGCATCTTCCCGGAATGAGGGAAGTGACCCCAAGGGAGCAGGACTTCCAGGGAGCTGCGTTTGGGCGGGACTGAGCCCGGAACTGTGGAGTGTGGAGCGGGACTCAGCGCCCTGAGTCTCTCGGGGAAAGCGGAACCCGCCTGACCACTTTCAGGCCTTCCCGGTGAATGCGATTACCTTGAAGGATGAAGAAAAAGCCGCTCTTAGGAGGCTGAGGCGGGAGGGTCGCCACGAGTTCGAGGCCAGCCTTGGGCCACTTAAAAAAAAAAAAAAGCGGAGAGGGCCGGGGATTTAGTTCAGTGGTTCCGGCGCCTGCCTCACAAGCGCAAGGTCCCGAGTTCGATCCCCGGTTACCAAAAAAAAAAAAAAAGCGGAGTATGGGAAAGCAGCGTTTTCATTTTTGTTTTACTTTTTTAAATTTTGTTTTTGGTATTGAATGCAGGATGTCAAGCGCTCTATCGCTAAGCTGCATCCCCCCCTCGGGTGAGTTTGATCCAGGCCTCACTCCGGGGTCTCCCAGCCCTCTCCCCCCACCTTTCTAAATGTTTAAAACATTTCTGAGTCGGGGTCTTGCTAAGTTGTCCAGGATGGGCTCTACCTTGGGATTCTTCTCCCTCAGCCTGCCGGGTTTCTGGGGTTACAGGTGTGTTCCCCGTGCCTGGCCAGAAATGGCTTTCCGATGGATTTTGAAAGATAGAGCAGGCCGGGGATTTAGCTCAGTGGTTCCAGCGCCTGCCTCACAAGAGCAAAATCCAGAGTTCGATCCCCAGTACCAAAAATAAAAAGGAAAGATGGAGCGTATTTTGAGGGAAATCAGCGCTTAAAGGTAACGACAGTAGCGAGGGGAAACGCTAGCGCGCTGCCCACGCCTGGGCCCTCAGTCTGCCTCGCTGTTGCCATGGCGCTCGCTGGGCGTCGCCGCTTCGCGTGCGGTCTGGCCGCCGGCCGCCAGGTGGCAGTGCTCGCCGCTGCGGCGCCCCAGAGAGGCGGAGCTGAGCGGCCCGCTGGTCTGGCGACCTTAATTAGCCCTGCAGGCGAAGCCCTGGGGAAGACATTAAATATGTGAGCCACGGAGGTGGCACTCCGCAAGCTGAGGCAGGAGGATCGCCATGAGCTCGAGGCCAGCCTGGACTACAGAGTGAGACCTTGTCTCAAACAAACAAAATATTAAATAGAGGCGGGTGTGGTGGCGGACGCCTGTGACCCTAGCACTTGGGAGGCTGAGGCAGAAGGACCCTGCCTCAAAAAACCCTCTATAAGCAAATTTGCAAATATGTAGGGGAAAGGTCAGGGAGAAAGTAAAAGTAAAGTCAGCTGAGTGACTTGTGCGTCAGAGAGTTAAAGACGGGAAGGACGCGTGCCCCCCCCCCCCCAGCTGGGTTTGATCCTAGCCAGCTGCAACCAAGGAAACTCGGGAGCTGATGGGAGACCAGAGGCTGAGGTCACCACCGCAGGGGCTCAGGCCCTGTCTAATAATTACCTCTCCCTAGTGAGGAGGAGGCCAGGAGACACAGGAGGGGAGAGCACGCATGCGTGGGCCGGGAAGCACGCGTCCGGGCGCTACCACAAAGCCAGGGTGGTTATCCGCGGCACTTTGTTTTCTTTTTTAAAACTATGCAACCCCCTCACACACCTTTAATTTGACATCTCAGATTTTCTTAAGGTTTAATTTGCTGCTAGGGATCAACTTCTGCAGAACTTGAGCTATATCCCCAATCTTCTTTTAAAGACAGGGTCTTGTTAAGTCACCCAAACTGGGCTCCAACTTGGCAGCCTCCTGCCTCAGCCTCCCATAGAGCCGGGATTACAGTTGCATGCTATCACATCTGACTAAAAAGCAGGTTTCCTAAGGGCGATACTCTGGAGCCAAAAAACAGGCACCTCTTCTGGCTGAGACAGTGTCGCCCCAGTGGGCTGCAGGCTCTTTCAGCTCTGCTCATCCCCAGAAACTACACAAGGTCCCAGCCTCCACTTGGCCCTCAGATTGTTCAGTCATGCTGGGCTTGATAGTGCAAGCCTGTAGTCCCAGCACTCGGGAGGCTGAAGCAGGAGGAT